TTTTGTAAGAGCCAACGATGATCAAACGCGGACATTATTGGGTGATAGGCGTTTCGTTCATGACGCTCAAAACAAAGTGAAACAACTTGAACAAAATGCAACAAGATTGCTGGAATTGAAAAGACAGCTTTTAGATGGACATGTGACAGAGGAGCAGCTTCTTGAGCAAGGAAAGTCGCAGCTGGCAAAAATCACAGTAGCAAAGCTGCAGAAGATATTAGAAATGTTGTATTTTTCAGTCACTAGACGCACAAAAGAAATAACTTCTCTTGCTGGTGAGTTTTGTTGGAGGTTTTTTTATGAGTAACTGTAAGCATTATTTTAAAGTTCGTAGCAAAATCAAAGTGAGTTAGATTTTAGATGTAGGCGACACAAAATGCAAAATTGTGCTTTATCTAAAAGTAAACGGGTAAATACTATCTATGCCATCCTCGTAGAAATATGTAGACTTATATTTCAAAGCATTTTTCCAAATTACTGTAAAATTGCGACATGCACGTTCTGTAGATTCTAGCAAACGAAGATCTTCCATGAGAAGGAAATGCGCTGAAGAGAAGTCCAAAATAACATCCACCGTAGAAGAGTTAAATTGCCTCTCAAGCTATTGATTTAACAGTCGCTCATTCTCACTCACGTAACCAAAAAAGCTATGAATGGCTACCAGCCACTAGCTGGTATACTGGTTCAATTCCAGTACATAGCTCTCAAGAAAGTGGTTACTACGTACATATCTATATCTCAGACACCGTGGATGTAATGAAGCCATTCACCTTTTGCAGCTGTTATAAGTTGTTTGTTAACAAAAGTGATTGAAAACATGTTTCATAAAGATTGTAGACATTTCTGTTTTTAATTTGGTTAGTAAATTGTGCAATTGGTCCTTCACTCTATTATAGCAGGCTTTCCATTTTTTCTTAGATGAATGGCAAGTAAAACGTCACCAATTGCTTTATAGAACGTCAAGGTATGACGTCAAGGTATGATGCAGAAAAAGTCCTTTGATGTAGTTCAAAGTAGTTATAAGTGTCTTATTTCACGACTCGGAATTTTTTTATTTGGACTTCTTACGTGATATGACGCGCATAATATAAAATCTGTTCTTTTTATAATACAATGATATCAAACAAAAATATTTCCACTCGAAGATCAGGCACAAAAATAGAAAATTTACTACAATATACATATACAAGGAAGTTTCTTTACGAAAACAATAAAATCCATAAAGAAAAAAAATGCGGAAGATTTACGTAGTTATATATTGTGAGTAAAATCATTTGGTCCAGCAACAAACATTCTGTCAACTGGCCAAATGTAAGACTCGTCAGTTCTTACGACATCTTCGTCGAATGGACCATGCAATGGTGGAGCAAATGTTTTGCCCGGTACCACACTAGAAAAAAGACAGATAAGTAGCCGGGAGTCACGAGTCGATTATGCACCTTCGACATTCCTGAGACACATCCAAAACCACACACTACACCATTCTCGTTGGCCAAGCTACAACAGTTCCTAAGTATACATGAAACAATTTAAATTCAAGACATGGCCATTTGCTTCGTTAATCACTATTTATGACAGAAGAAATATTGCTACGCATCATCGGCATGTACGTAGCTGCCAAAGAACCAAATCAAGTTTTAACATTTTAAAGCTGAAAGTGGTGATATGTGTTTGGTCATGTCTATTGTTGTCAAATGTGTTCAATGTTGATGATAAAATTAATCAACAAAAGATCGAACTTGTTTTGCGACAACCTGATAACTTCTAAGAACCTAAAAAATCAACCATTCTAATGCTAACACCTATGTACACTCTTTCTGACCAGTGCTAAAAGTTGCTGTAGGGACAGAAGGAGCCATCGTTTTAGATATGGTTGACACAGATGTTGCAGCGGCGAAGGAGCTTGAAGACAAGGAAGAAGAGGTTGAAACAGATGAAGAAATGCCGATGGAGGTACATCCACTGGAAGAGGCCAGAGTGGTGTTAGTGCTAAAAGAATCAGTGACGACATTTGTATTGGTATTGGTAGCAGCAGGGAGGAAGGGGGACTCGAAAGTCACAGAAATCGTATTAAGATGAAAATCTTTGCGTATAGGAATGAATGTCGAAACAGCGCTACTAACTGGAAGAGAGGCTGTAACAGAGCTACAAAGAGTAACAGATGAAGATTTTAAAACAGAAGGGAAACAGAAAACGACAAGGAAGGGGAGGTAGAGGCAGGGATAGTATTTGTAGATGAAAGATCTGTAAATTGACTACCTTTATTTCTATCTTGCCATAACTTCTTCATCCCAGTTTGAAACAAGTTTCCGGCTGATTTTCCAATTACACCACTGCTGCTAATAAAATCTGACGCCAAACCTGTAGTTGCAGCATAATCCCAGACGGTTGGACCTCCAGTAGTTGATGGGTGATAATACATTACCACCACATGATAACCGTGGTTCTGATGAAGAGTCTGAGCCTACAAAAAAGTCCAATTCCGAAACCAATCAAATTATACATTGATAGATTTTAACATCTGCTCCAATACCGTAAGATACATTAAAGAACACATATCTAACCCTTTTCATCAGCAGAATTTTCTGTCTTGTCGTGGTCGAATATTGAGGTATTGAGACGGAAGAGGGCCTCTTTGGAATGAGCTTTCCACAGTTGGAACATCGCTTACATGCGTTGCCCATAGCAGTAAAGAAATTTCTACATATTTTCTTTCGAGAAGTTGTCTAAAAAAATTCTAGTCCTCTATAACATAGAAGTGCACCACCAATTAGGTAAAAATTATTTTTTCCAGAAAATTACTGTACAAACCTTTCAGGCAATTGGATGTATTTCATAGGAAGCAACAATTGCATTTATACACGAATAGTACAAAAAGTAATACTACAGACGTGAAGATACAAGACAAGCAGTAACAAGTTGTGTGATTCCTTTACAACGGAAACCAATCATCGTAATAAAGTAAATGGTTTGAACCCAGGAGTATCGTTACATGTTTGTAGATGTACATCGTTTAGATCAGTAGAGTCCTGAGAAGGACTGTTTTTGTTGTTGTTGACGGACGTTTCAACAACCTTAGCGGTAGTCATCTTCAGAGTCAACCTTAGAAGGACTTAATCGTCTTAATCTTATAAAATTATCATTAAATTTGTGCGTTGCAATACATTGTTCTTCGATATAAACCCTGATCATAAAGGTATTTAACCTGATTACGTATAGACAGCGATAGTTAATAGCAATGAAAATGGTTGGCAAAAATCAAACTACCATAAGGCTTACTACATTTAACTCGTAGTCATTGACGTAGCCAGAAAAAATACTAACTCCTGCCCATGTCACGCCGGCGGTGCAACTCATACTAGGGATTTATAGACGATCTGAAAAGACTATAATTTCTTTAATAGTATCTTTTATGCAATCGAAATAATAGTTTTAGATGATTTGAGGACCAGTGCTTTGTTGGCATTTGTTATTTGTGTTGCTCTCTTTGCAAAAATATTGTACTTTCACCAAAGGTATACTCTAGGGGAAAATTCGACGCGCACGGAAGTAGCGAATAGTTTTAATGATTGTAAGTGTTAACTGACTTGAAAACGTCAGTTTTTTGCCATCAGGCTGACTTATCAGTTTTTTCATTTCAAGACTTTATCGCAGCACAGACCTTAGTATAAGAATAAACAAACCCACCTCCTTCAGTTTAAATTTTAGCGACGACTTTTTTGTCCCCTTTTCCATGTTGCTAACAGCAAGGGGGGTGGAGCAAATGAAATAAATAGAGCTGACTGAGATGTTGCAAAACCTAAGCTATTTCACATTCATAAAATATGCCAAATGGTCACTTATTTCTAACTGAACTCCTAGAGTAGAGGTGCGGAGGTTAGTCTCTACGGCCTAAACCAGATGGCATAAATTCTAATGGCTATCCTGCCAAAATAATATGAAATTAAATTATTCATGCTCCTAAGCATGCGGTGAGCTGTGACTTTAAACGTAACCCATGCAGAGGCTCTTTTTGCATTTGTAAACGTTACCCAAGTATCGGTGCCGTTGAATTGGTAAGATGCATTCAAGGCGTGTTGTTCAGAATTTTTTTCTCATTGTCAATTTTTAAAGTACCGTTATATAGCTGAACTTCAAAATATTTGCGTTATAAAACGGAACATCTCGCAGTTAATTCGGTTGTTTTGTACCTAAAATACAGTACATCTTTTTATAGGTTTTAGGCGTAGATCCTGAAGAAGTGCTTACGTGCAAGCACTCATCATGTGGAATAAATGCTGTACTCGTGGCGCTAAAATAGGAAAAAACCGGTTTATGCCCGGCAAGGGTGCCCCATAAAATTATTAATTATTTGTTCGACATGCGATTGGTGGAGATAGCATGGAAACTCTGAATGGAAGCAGACAGAGGATTTGCTCTCTAAAGTAACAAGTGAATTGGCAGATATGTTAAAAAAAGAAGTTGTTTTGTTGTCATGTACTAAGGTGCTTTCTTTGCTAAAAAAAGGAAAAATGTTTAGATATAATATACCTAAAACCGGAAATGAATAAACAGCTTTCACTTGAAACTGCAGAAGAAGCTTTTAAACATTTTAAAAACAAAGTAGGCATTTTACTTTTATCACACTGACAAAATCATCATTGAGAAAATCTTATCTTGGATGAAAATGGTAAGATTAGAATTTACGACGCGACTACCGGAAAAGATGACTTGATAAAGTTTGAGAATGCTCGTGATATGCAGGTCGTTGCTTTGGCCAAAGGCAAAGACAATAAATTTGAAATCGCTGAAACATGGTCCGATTGCTCTTCGATATTTTGCATAAAAGAACATACTAACGCTTATGACTAAAATATAATTGGTGATGAAAAACTTAAAGAAACAAGTGAAGAAGAAACAAGGCAAAAGGTAAAAAAATTTTAAGCTGAAGAGCTTGACCTTAGATAAAACTAAAGATTCAATAATTTATTTTGTAGACACCATCGGAAATGAGCGAGTATGTGAATCCTCTGCTCAAGAGTCATGTGGGGGAAACACCGCTTTGGTATGTTGAAATTAAGGTTTGATTAATAAAGAATTGGGAGAAGAGCGGTATATCTGTCTACGGTACAAACTGTGTGTTTTCTAATGCATTCTTCACAGTTCAAAATTTAGAAACAACTGACGCAACTCGAGAGAAACTGTTGATCTAAAGATTAAACAATTACGGAGCACTTTCTGCTTACATTTTCAAATTATTTGAGCGATGAAGTGTGATTAGCATTTCTACGATACTCTCACTATTGAAGAACACCTCAACACAACTTTAGTTAGCAGAATGTCACCATGCCTTAATATCAGGGAACTTTGGAACTTAAAATGTTCTATTTTTCAGTGCTGAAACCTTGATGAAATACCAAACACACATGATGGAACTAACAGCAAATCCACGCAGTTGGATATAGCTCAGGTATTCGGTCTTTTTATAAAGAATATTTTATTTTGGAAATTTGTCAGAAGTTCAACATTACTTGCGTTAGTATTTTCTGCAATAGTCTTTGTTTACCCGTAGGTCAATTGGTTGACTGAGGTGAATAGTGACGCGGCAACGGTGACTTACATTTATAATAAAAGTTTGAAGTTCATTGTTTCTTTTTTAGTTCTAAGTGCAGAGCGACTGTCTGCAAAACAAATTCATTTCATAATTTAAACTTCGAGTGAGCAAAATGGCATTAAAAAACTCAAATGAATAAAAAATTGTAATTAGTGTTGTTTAATTGCAACTTTACGCTGCCGCATTTTTCACGGAACGCAGTATTAAGAGAAGCATTAGAAGGATGTGCATAGCCTCCAATGCAATGCCATCAACAACTCATACAAGTTGTATGTTCACCACTACAACCTGTTTCCAGACCCTTGCGCACACAATGTTCAGGAAACATTGAGAGTAGAATCATTAGACTTGCGCCTATGAAGAAAGAGTCCTTACACAGGGCATGAAGTATAAGATAACTCGTGAATAATGTTTGAATAATTTTTGTTAAGTATAATGCAATTTTCAAATACAGCCAGTGGAAAACTTTTTCAAGTGGAATTCAGCCATCCCACGTGCTTCTTACTCATCGAACACACCTCGTTGTAACCAAACATTGTTTGATGACTCTCAACAATTTGGAATGCATGGTAAGCTTGGTAATAATCAAGGTTTATGTATTATATATAGTTAACTTGTTTCAAATATATATTGTATACCTCCTTCACTTAAATTTAGCCCCTCGAGGACAATCCAGTCTTCTATCTTCTCTTCATGGACTACTGAGCTCTGGCTAGCCATCTTCAACTGCTCAAATCACTCCATCTTCAAGATGGCAAGGACAATCAAGTATGCTCATTGAAAAATCTATAAAGTGCGCATATTCATTTATTTATAGCATCCTTGTTTTTTTAGTCCCATGGCAATTACATGGATATACACCTTGTTACCATTCCATATCCTCTTCAACCTCCACCTTCATCTTCTTCAGTTTTTGATTTTCAAGATGCCCCACCTACAAGGATAGGTGGTGTACGTATTAATAATGAACCACTCAACCATCTTTGATAATGGTAACTGTGAAGTTTTTTCCAGGACCAAACAATGGTGCAAGCGTCACAGCTACCACCACGTCAAACCTAATATATTGCTTGGAAAATGTCGAGGATCATAATACTAGTAGGAAATGTATGAACTGTAGTTTATATACGAACATGCACATGCACACATATATGGTTAAACTTTTAGTCATGCACGTGTTCTTTTTATAATTACTTTATACACACTTGTATACGGTTTAGGAGTAAATTGCAATTAGATTTGTCTAAAGTTATCACATTTTCAAATATTATGTCGTATTCACATTAAGCTAGGCCTCAGCAAGAACATAAAGATTTTTTATATCAACCTCAAAAATCTATGTAATTTGAACAGAAATTTCATCGGAGAGCCATCTAGTTAGGAAAACTAAATGGTTTTCTTACTCCCTTGTGCAATGTGCACATGGCTGTACTTACATGTCTGTTGTCTAGGTTTCGGCTTGGCCTAGCTGGTTTAACATTCTTAAAAAGTCAAAAAATTCTTCACCTTGGTGTGGAGATGGGAATATTCACAATAAATATAATCTAGAAATTTTGCAAAAGTGTGTCAGAAATGTGTAAAAAGAATAAGGCAAAAAAAGTGTGATTCTTTGAAACAAGTATAGTGATGTGGGACAGATACCACCCGCGAAGGCTTAAATGCCGTAAACTAAGGAGCCAACTTAATAATTTATGTTTACTTGTTTTGTTCTGACGTTATGCTGCAATTTCATGAGTATAATAATACGATTTTGCTGTTTTAATTTCTCTTTGGTTTTATCCCTTCTTTATATAGACGATTCCTTGCCTTGTCATAGGAATGGTAATTGTCGTTTTTTAACTCATATCTTAATTTTATTTTTCATCTATGGGCTGTAAATTGTTACAGTCTTTTTGATAGATAATGGTTAAAAGCTTGCATGAACTCTGTGGGTGTTCATTCACAAGCAGACGGACCGATTTAACCGATCGTTACTAATATATGACATTGATAGATTTTAATCATTATATTAACATTACTTCGCAACCCAAAGGCTGAGTTACATTATTGTTTAAGAAACATTTAAGTCTTTAGTACCTCAAATTCTAATTCTACCTCTCCTTTGGTTCTCGTCTTTGGAAAATAAATCATTTAAAATTTTTTTATCTGGATGGAACAACATTAAGAAATAAAACTTTTTAACTCACTTGACCAGTGTTCCTTCTCCGAGTCGCACACACGCACATAGTTTTTTTATAATTTTGCGTTGTACAAATCTTTTTCTGTTTGCTTCAGGAAATTAATTTATGTTTTTGTGAAATTACGTTTAATTACGCCCGTTCATATAAAAATTAACAGACCACCAAAAATATTTTTATGCCAGTCAAATCGCGTGTTATTTCACCAAAAGTGACGTTCGTCAATTAATTAAGAGTTAGCCTATGTTCCAAACAGTTATATCATTTATAATTCAAACATGAAAAAATGCATAGTTTTATGCGGATGTTTGATATAAATTCTATGACTTGAAATGAAAGAACAATAAGATCACATGAGATTGCATAGCAAGCACCCAGTATTCCATTTCTAAAGCATACTGGCCAAATAATGGTAAGTGTCAAGGGTGGACTTTTGAGAGTAGATCACCTTTTTAGTGCATCATAAGTGGTCGAATTCACAAGAATCACATCGAAAATCAACATACAGGTTTGTCTCTTTTAAATTTTGAATTTTATTTTTTTGCACTACAAGTCAAACACGTGAGATTTTTGTTGTTGAGTTTAGGTTTAGTCAGTTGATTCTCGTTGTCTCTGTTTTAACTCTCTATTCGCTTGTGCAATTAAGGATAAAGTATCAAGAGCTTGTTTTACAAGTAATTCTTTGCTTTCGCCTTAGAGAAGCTTTCTGCAAGCTAGAGGAGAGTTTTGCTCAACTGATTAGTCCATTTAGTAAGGAGCTCTGCACTTTTTGGGTAGCAGCTGTTGCTAATTTTCCGAGTTTACTTTGGTGGGTTCCATGGCCTTACATTTTTTTAACTGAAGGAAAACCTTGTTTCTCTTTTTATCTTTCTTCAGTGAGCTACGTGCTATGAAGTTTATCAACAACCTTTGCAAGGCTCTCAGTTACTTCTGGCCTTCTTTTCTCATCATTTAACCTAATAAGCAACCTCGGCCAAGGCTTTCGAAAGTGACGAATTGGGGGGTGGATTTGATGTTTGTTTTCTGACATATTGATGACTGATGAGTTCATTTACAATTTTCGTTATATCATCTTCTGAAACTTCCCGTTTTCATGAGTGTTTTAAACGCGGCTATTTTTCTTCCGCGAGTCTGACTTTTGAGCGGAAGAGCCACTGCTAGGTTTTGGAGGGGGAAGCTTTCTACTGTCATATAATGATTTTCCCAAGATTTACAAATGATTCTTGGACGTTTGTAGACAGCTTAGGGAAATGCCCTCGATTCCCAGATTGCATAATTTTAAGTAAAGCAGTTGACATTTTCGTGTGAGAAACATTTTAAGCATTAGAAGTTTGACATTCGCCAAAAATCGACGAAAATTCCCAGTTTTCGAGAGTCTCAAAATTGCTGAAAGACGCTGTTAATGCACGCACTGAATGCTGGGATGCTGGAAGGTTATCCCTACCCAAATGACAACTGATAACGCGCAGTACATGGAAATTGTTCACGAAATGACATTTGACATGCATGTAAGTTATAAAATGCTCATGCTGACTGACACAATTTCTAGAAATGCTTAAAATGCGGTTTTTATCTGTTTAGATTATACAGGGAAGGGCTTATGCACGATGCTTATAAAAAATCTTTTCGTATACCTTAATGAAATATATATGACTTAAGTTATCTTGTAGTGAAGATCATTTTTCCAGATCTTAACATGTAGCGAAAGTTGGATTTGCCGGATTTCCTCAGAAAACGTTATAGGTTTGGAAGACTTTATTATTGCCTAAGAGTTATTGGAAGAGATTGATTTGTAAGAACGAACACCTTATGGTCAATAGTAAATTTTTAGTAATTAAGCAACACTCAATTCCTTGAAATGAATACTAGATGCAAGAGAAGACTGAAGGGGAAATGAAAATTAACTTCTGTCAAAAAGTCACAGGAAAAGGAATTGATTTTATGAAATAATTTGGTGTTACATGTTTATAGACAGCATCAACAGTCCTTCTCATGATTCTACTAACCTCGATGATCTACATCTACAAATATGTAGCGATAGTCCCGGCCTTAAACCATATACTTTATTAAAATTCCCCCATCAACAATTACAACGCACGTTTCATTAACTCTTTCGTCTCATGCACCATAAACATTGTGTGTAATGCTTGTTTTCAAAACTCCAACATGTTTGCAAAAAAATTCCAATACTAAATTCGTCAAAGTGTACATGGTTATAGAAAGAAACAAATAAACGTCATCTGAATGTATTTGTGTTTTTTGGTTTCCTTTTTACGTGAAGCATTACCCAACATTGACATTTTTACATTCTTCAAAACTTTATAATATTTCATCAATTGTTATTAATATTAAATGCTGTTTCATGTGACCCAATTACCATATGCGCTCTTAAAGGAATTTTTGCATACGTATGTCAAATCCGTCAATTCGACGAGCTGAGTGGTTCCAAGACGGCGCTTTGATAAGATACTTTGCTGAAGACGTTTTTGCTTTCCGTACTGTCAACCAAATCTTGTAAACGTTGTCTTCGTACTCAAAGGTAAGACGTGAGTACTTCATAACCATTTCATATATAATGACTTGCGTAACGCAAAACACAAATGTTGTGATGGACAATGTCTCAAAAAAAAAAGGTTTAGGAAATGAGTTAAGATTTCTTCGAGGCCATCAGAAAATATCTGTTAAGAAAATTAGATAACCTGTTTCTTTTGCTACATACGCTAGGTGTTATGGTAATTCATGAGATGGTCTTCAAATTCAAAACAGAAGTTTAAATTCGTTTTACGCCATTTCTGTGAATGTTTACGTCCTTAAAACTAGTACTTTACTCAGTTTAGTGAGAGTATTTCAAACATTGAGTAGCTATTTTTATCATAAAATATCAGTGGTAATCAACCATTATTACTTGTTGACCAAGCGCGAGGTTTTTTTTTCCTTTCGGAGAAATATCGGACAGAAGTGTTTTTGTAAAGAACGAGAGTGCGATGTGTACAAACTATTCTCACAGATCTTTAACATTTCAGTCTGGTCAAAAAATTGTGAATTAAAAAAATTTGCCTAAGAGTAGGATGACCGAGCCTATCTCGGCGCCATAAGTTCTTGCAACTCCGAATTAAAAGCTCAGCATTTCTACTGCATTTTTCATTGTGTCCTTGCCACTCTTCCAAATGTACACAGCGTTACTATCAAGAGCTGCAACTATATACTTTGACGTACTTGAATTCGTCGCCAATCACACACACACTGCAGTCGCTCTGGGTTTAGCTTGGCAAGTTGATCAATCCAAAACGCCATCCTTTAATTGGTCTCAATTCTATCTTGCCTTGCTTTTGTTCAATGCATATAAACTATCATGTAATTCACACACTATTAGCGTACCAAGTATTCTTTTATTATTCTTCTGCCACTCTTATAGAGAATTTCTTAGCACTGAAGATGGTTAAAAAGTAAGCGTGCGGGGGCTGATTTCAAAAAGTAAAACGTCGGCAAAATTAATAAGGAGCGGGGGAGGGGAATAATCCTCCTCTGTCCCTGCCTGATTTGATGACAAATTTTTTCTGATACTTTATCTTATGTATCACTCGGGTCGTAATATTCACAAGTTTTGTCTTACCGCTACATTATTCGAACAGGAAAAACTAAACGAATAAGATATAGAAGGATACACCTCGGGAAACACAAAAAATACAGGATACAATAAAATACTCACAAATAGGAATCACTAAAATATATCGAGTACAAAAGTACTAAGTTACACTTTCCATT